CTTCATGTATGATTTAATGATTGGGAACCAAGAAATTTGAAGGAAACACTTTATGCAGGATTTATTGATTTGGGACCGTGTGACCGGGGTGTTTCAAGAGTTTTTTGGAACATTCTAGAACATTCGGTGAGGAGACGAAGCGGGGAAGGAAGGTGTGATGCTAAGGGTACTGAAATCATGAGTTAGTGGGGCCCAAGACGTGATCGACAGCACCTGAAAAATTGGAAGGCTGGGTCTCAAATCGCGGTTGATATTTCATTTAATTTTAGTAACAAAGAGCTTGTGTGAAAATCTAAGTTTTAGTGTCGTTCGCGCTAATAGATAAAATCTAGTATAATAATTGTAGTTTAATTTAGGGTTTAAGTCGTTAGACCATTTAGAAAACGTCGCGTGTGAAATTTAAGGAATTGTTATTTTCGGGTGATTTAGCGAAAGATCGGGAGTGCGTGTCTAATACTTTGTTAGGGCATTCGTACTGAATTTGTTTATAAATAATCTAGTATTTAGGAAACGCCGCGAGTTTGTGCTTAAATTTGTAACCATAGGTAGATTACTGCTTTAGCGCGCGAGTTATACAGTATTAAGACCCTAATTCGAATCTAGAAGTGATTTAGGTCTTCAGCCGTGTATAAAATACTTTTGTTAGGACATTAGTGTTCGTAAAGCGCGTGTGATAGGGTTAAGACTGTAATTCGAATCTAGAATAGATTTAGGCCTTCAGCTGTGTATATAATATTTTGTTAGGACATTAATAATATAGTTGTGCAATAATATAGTACTCAGGAAGCGTCGTGTGTTAATTTATATAATATTTACGTTTGATAGTTAGAGTCAGTGTCCGCGAGCGCGTGTGTGAGACAGTGTTAGTAAGACTTTAATTCGAATCTGGAGCTGATATGGGTCTTCAGTTCCTGGTCTATGTTCCTGGCAGATTTCCTTGTAGGTGCAGCCTTCTAGATGTCTTGTAATAGGTGAGAGGTCACCTCTCAGGTATGTGATTTGTGTTTACTATGATAGGATACCTACTTATTTTGGGTATCTATCGTTGAGATTTGTTTACGTTTTTTTTACAGTTTTATGTGCGTTGTGTATTCTTTTGATACATTCTAATTATAATATAGCGAAACCTCATTTGACTGATATTCTTTTATTAGTTGAATGAACAGTTACCGAAAAATAACTTAAATTATCTAGCAAACACTAAACCTTGATTTTGTTTAACAATGAGATAAAATTGTACTTTATAACATTTTTATAGAGTATTTATATTGTTTTGAAATCATCAAATTATTTGATATACTCGTATCTAACTTTGACCTTTTTTGTCACATTTTAATTATAATAATGGCAATTTGCTACGTTGAATTTATTATTTATTACTTCAGCTAAACTATAAAATATAGATTTCATTTAATTTATTTTTATTCAATCAATTAATCTTAATGTAGAATTCATAGTAGTTAGGACACCTGGAGTAATTGCAATTTTATTGATTACACGCACATTCTGAAGGTGTCCATACATTAAGCAATGTTGTTTTATTTAATTATAAGGTAAGGTAAACTGTGACAACTTGGTACAATATACTTGATCAATGTATTGTACGAAGGATAACAGTAGCGGTTTATTATATCCTTCTTCTTTGGGTATTATCGGTATTGGTTTAAGGTATCTAAGGTGAGGTAAAATTATTTATTAAAGATATATTAATACATAATATTGTGTATTTAATTTCATGTCCTTTCTGCTGAATTAGTGGACATCTGCAGAATGGAGTTAGAAAACCAATGAAGTTTGATTGATTGTTATCTTAGGCTGATATTTGGCATATTTATTACAAATTATAAAACTTTGTCTTGTCAAATTAAAAGCCTTTGTGGAAGATGATACTAAGTTATTTGCGATGATGTTGGATCACCTGTGTTCCTTCCATCGCCCTGTCAGATTTACGCCTTGATATCCATGTATATCTCGTTTATGTCTGATTAGCGTATTCCTAGAGCTAGCCGATAATTATTAGAAGTACCTACTACAATACACAGTGACAGTGTTCATGATCTTATATGGAAGGTCTTTCCATTTCCATAAAGATTTAGGACTTCGAGTGTATAAGTTGTTACTGAGATAATTAGCCGCGTGGTCGGATTGGTTGGTATTTAACTTAGGCTTCTGTAAGTTAATACTAGATTAACTTTCAGTGCTTGGTGAACACTAACCCAACTTAGATAAGTCTACTACCAAGGCTTATCGGATAGCGAAATTATATTTCAAATGCTGAATTATCACCTATGTGATTATGATATATATAATTAATTGATAATTATAATTAATTGATTTCTTCTCTGCTTGCTGTACTCAAGGTGTGTAATAGGGATTCTTATTAGTAAAGACTAGGCAGGGCTATGAGGTGGGCCTATTCTTCTTCCTTACCTTTATCCTCTGTCTCCTTGTTTCTTTACTTATATAGACCATATGTAAAACTAGTTTACATTAATGGATATTATTTCTCTTCTTGCATCAATTAGTTACTCTCAATCCTGTCCCCGGATATCTCCGGATTTCTATGTATTTATACTTGGGTTTAAATGACATCGCAATGTTTTGTGAGCGGAGCTATGACACTATTAACAGTTTCATATCTACTAATTACAATAAGGTATAACAATACTTTTATTGTTCTACAACGTTCCTGATTGATTGTTCCTGTTAAGATACCCATTCTCGTGAAAGACCGAGATGTGGTACACTAAATAATGCTTCTGATTGCCGCTGCATCACCAATTTACTGGTTTGCATAGACTTACTAGTATTGCAGACTATATTGTGCTCGCCTGCGTTGACACAATATGAGTAGCAACATGCTCTCCCTGTCTGTTGGACCTTGTGGACTATATTGTATTCGTTGAGACGATACATACAATGTAACAGTCTACAGTTCCAGAGCCGGCTCCAAGCCATGGCTACATCGTCGTGCTGGTCTGTTCTGTGTGAACCAGTGACTGGTTTATGTATTCATCAATTGAAGACGTCGAGTTGTATCATTTCATATACATTGAAATGCTATTTGCACTACATTTTATGCAGAACCTACTGTTGATGGTCTTTATGCTACGTCACAGACATGGCAGGACATTTATACTTAAGGTATTCCGTATAACGAATATCTATTGTTTAAACAATCATCATTTAATAGCGTAGGTGTATATATTTCTATACCTTCTACGCCCCGGAGTATGTAACCGGCGTGTCATACACGATACGTGAGCGGAGGTGGTCTGTAGTGAAATAACATCTACACAAGCAGACTGTTGTGGGGGCTTCGTATACCTCAAATATATTTTTTTACATGAGGTGGGCATCCTTTCCTTATTCCTTAATCCCCTTCCAATATATTTATACGTCTTTTTGAAAAAATCTATACAGCATATCACTATATTTATATGATTATCTCACGTACCTCTTAAAGAATCGCGGGTTACTTATCTACTTACTTATTTACTTAAAACACAACGTAATATTAATAATAAGGTCCTAATCAAACTAGACGATCATATAATTAAAAATTTAATATGGCCATTTAATAGATCCATAGTATCTTGTATACTTTGATGCTTGGGTTTATATATTTTAGATTATTATATGTATATTACTTATATACATAATAATATGTACACATATAAGTTTTATATGTGAGTTACTGTTATGATAAAATCCTAGTCATTGGTATTGGTCTTCGTTCGTTTGTAGTGTTGTCGGCGTGGATTATGATGATGTCGTGGAAGGCGACGATGGTTATGTATGATGTTGTTTAGGAGAGGGGGGGTGATTCGTTACAATTTGGTGCCGTGACCAGGATTATTAAAACTATAACTTAGTTGTAGGCTAGTTAGCCTACAATTTGCTGTCCGTGTGAGGGATAGAGGTTTCAAACGTGAGATAAAAATAAAAGCGGTGCTTTGGAAATAGTTGGAATAAGCTGCAATTTATATAATTAATATACATATTAATTCATTGGTAATTACTTTTGCAAGTTTTTTGTACAATTTGTAATATTGTGTATGGGGGCGGGCTAAAATCAGTTTGAATTTAATAGTATTTTATTTAGGGGGCGAAATAAATTCTAACAGTTGTGAGTTCTATAGATATTCTATAATTATTTGAATATGGGGGCGAGCTTTAAGTCATACGGAGGTTTTTGGAAGACCAGTAAATACTCTTCTATTCAGGGGGCGAAATAAAATTTAGATAAAGTGAATTTTGGGGGCGAGGTTATGTTTAGGAATAATGTTTCCAGTGAAATTAATTAGATTAAATTTCAAGTGTTCTATTTGTAAAGTTATATTAATTAAATTTTAATAAAAAAGAAACAATGATTACCTTATAATGAATTTCTGTTTTACCATATTTCGAAACTTAGTAACAGGAAATACTGAGCATATGTTATTTAGGACTAGTACTAGTAGAATCAATCTTTTATTTTTATTTAATTTTATGATTAAATGGTAACAGGGTATCTAAATAATTACTCATAATTATTTCAATACCTTGTTGTACTTACTCTTTATTTTGATGGGAATATAGTAAAATATTTTTATGTTATTTTTTTTTTCTTTCATGTTATAATTATATGGTATTTTGCACTTTACAGGTCCCCACCAAAACAAAAAAAAAATAAATAAAATAAAATGTAATAAAAAAAAAAATAAAAAAAAAAATTATAAAAAAAAAATACAAAATAGGGCTAATAATAATATAAATATATAAATTAAAGTATCTTGATGATACAGTGAACTGAAGAATAGTTATATTTATTTAAGTGCTTTTAATATCTCTAAAATCATTATATTGTGCGATTAAATTCAGTGTTATACAATAGTAGTGTTCTGACAGAACCTTATGTATAAATAACCATAGTGTATAAATAAACCTTAAATGACTTAATAATTATTTACATAAACTCAGTGATCCTTGTAGTGTGACTTTTATATAAGAAATACGGAGATACTATTTTTTTTTTACAAAATGAGGCCGAAGACGCGAGCCAGCACTCAATCTACACAAGTACAAAAACCGAGTAGTTCTATAAAACTTATGAACAGAATGTTCAGAAGAGCAGTTGGATTGATAGATGCTAAAATAAATAGATTAGAGGAAAAAATTACATCTGCAAACGTTATCGTTGATGATCAGCGAGGCACACCTACTAGTGATACAACTGCTTCTCTATTGGAGAACACAATGACACAACCGTCTACATCCACATTGCCACAAAACTCTGAAATTCAGCAAATAATATATGCAGTACCTAATTTATCTGAGAAGCCAAAATACCCGGGAAGAAGAGGAACTCACCCAGTCACTTTTATTGAAGATTTAACTGCTTATATAAATAAAGGTTCAGTGATGAGAGATAACATCGAAATAATCATTGAATGTCTGGAAGGAGAGGCACGAGATTGGGCTCGGATTTACAAGGAAAGATGGACAGGTTTTGAAGATTTCAAAAGAGATTTCATGAGTACATATTGGGGTGAAGCAGAGCAAAACGAATTAAGACGGAAAATAGTTCACAACACATGGGACAGGACAGAACATCCAACGATGTTAGGACATTTTATTTCTTTAGCCGGTCAGGCTAAAATGCTCAGTTTTCCTATACCGGAGAGACAATTAATTGATGATATTATCCGTCATTTTCCAAAACATATACAGTATTCTTGGGCTGTAAACCCGTCTACTACCATTTTAGGCGCGGCGGAATTTCTTAGAAAGGTGGACAACATCAACAAGCACGACCCTCATGAACGACCTAATGTATTACGTCGAAATAATGAGACGACAACAAGCAATACCGCAATAAGGGAGAACCGTCAGAATGCACTATATCTGCGCGGACGAAAACCACATCAATTAAATACTACCGTGCAGTGGAAAAGGCCTCAAGAAGTAACGTCGAAAAGTAAATCGAAGCCAACTCACGGTGTTAATGCAGTAGAAATTAGTGATGAACAGTTAAGTGGCAATTTAAACGAATAGAAGCTGCTGAGACGGACCCAATCTCAACAGCAAAAGTAGGAGGGGTTTGTAATTCTAATATGGTACTAAACATGATGTTAAAAACTGGTTGGGAACCTGGCCAAACCTTAGGCGTTAATAATACAGGGTTACGGTTTCCCATAGTTGTTAAAGGACAAATAGATAGGAAAGGACTAGGCTCAAGTAATTCATTAAATCAGAAAATAGTAAAGAATTTACTTACCAGATCTGAATTAGAAATTAATACAATTTACCAACCACCAGAACAAATTATTTTAGCATCCTTATTTGACGAAGATGACCAATTAATTTCAGAGCACATTGATATATTCAAATCGGAATTACGTTTAAAAATATTAGGCGAAGAGGTTTTATGTCTGTTAGATACTGGTTGTGACATAAGTTGTATTTCTGAATCCTTTTGGGAAAACATTAAAAGTAATTCTGAAAAAATACCTTTATTACCTATTAAACCAGTTCAAATTCGGGGAGCTATAGGACAAAAGAGTGCAAAGGTACAACAAGTGATTATATTACCAATAAATATACAAGGAGAAATCATTGATACACATTTTTTAATAGTGCCTAATTTAATCAGGCCAGTTATAATAGGGTTTGATTGGTTAGTTAAACATGGAATAATAATGGATCTACAGGGTCCTGAGAAAGGAATCCAAATAATGAAAAACAATAAAAGTATCTTCGCACCTTTGGGCACAAGTGATTTAAATGTTCTCGAGGCCATGTTAACTTACACGGAACAAATAAATTTTATTGAAAAAATTCATACAGGAATACCATTACAAGAAGTACAATTAAGTAAATTAAATACAGTTTTGGAAAAGCATAACAGAATATTTACGGAAAAATTAGGAAAATGTAATTGTTACTCTCACGAAATCAAAATGTCCAATCAAACTCCTTTTATTAAACGTTCATATCCGGTTCCTTACGCATATAGAGATAAGATGCAACATAAATTAAATGAAATGGAAGAGATGGGAATCATTTCTAGGTCTTCCACGCCCTATTGCAGCCCATTAACATTTACAGTAAAGCCAGACGGATCGTTGCGAGTTCTATTAGACGCTAGAGAAATAAATAAATACATGGTAGCTGAGTCTGAAACACCTCCCATGCAATTAGACATTTTGAATTCATTCCATGGGGTAAAATTTATCAGTGTAATCGATTTAAATAATGCTTATTTTCAAATCCCCATTTCAGAAAAAAGTAGAAAATATACTGGTTTTACATTTAATGGAAAATCGTATATATACAATGTCTTACCACAAGGTCTTAAGACGTCGGTGGGAACTTTTAGCAGAGCTATGGATTTGATATTAGGCCCAGAAGTTCGATCCTTCTGTGTAAATTACCTAGATGACCTTGCTATCTTAACTACTGGATCACTAGAAGATCACCTCCGACATCTTGATATTGTTCTTACTAAACTAGAAACCGCTGGCCTCACATGCAACATAGTCAAATGTAAATTCGTTTGTGAAGAGGTTAAAATGTTAGGTCACATTATTACTACTGAAGGAATTAAAACCGATCCTGAAAAGATTGAGTCAATAAAGAAATTCCCTGTGCCAAAGAAAATAAAACATTTAAGGGCATTTCTGGGATTATGTAATTATTACAGAAGATTTATACCTAATTATAGTAGTTTGATACAACCTTTGTGTCAGATATTAAAGAAAAGTCGTGTTTGGGATTGGACCGACGAGGCCCAAAGGTCTTTTGATAAAATAAAGGACAGTTTTTTATCTACCATAATGCTTCATCACCCAGATTTTACAAAAGCTTTCTATTTGCAAGCAGATAGTTCAGGAGTAGGATTAGGTGGTGTTTTGTACCAATATGATGATCATAATAATATGAAAATTTTGAGTTTTTGTAGTAAATCATTAAAAGGACCTGAATTAAGATGGACTGTGACAGAACAGGAATTTTGGGCAGTTATTTATTGTTTACGCAAATTTGAAACTTATTTGAGAGGCGTTAAATTAATTATTAAAACAGACCATAAAGCACTAACTTTCGTTAAAACCTGGAAATTATACAATAGTCGAATAATTCGTTGGATATTATATCTGGAACAATTTAATTACGAAATACAACATATATCTGGTAAAGAAAATGTCGTAGTTGATGTACTGTCTAGATATCCAAACGACAGTAATGTAGTTCAGGAAAATAAAGGTCAATGTCCTGAAATCAATTATTTAGAGACAAAACAGAATAAACAATTAATTAATCAGTTGAAAAATATTCAGATTTATCAATCTCAAGACATTGAAATTCAAGAAATTATAAAAATATTAAAAAATGAAGGATCTGGGGTGAAAGGAAAATACGATAGAATAGCTCGTCGTTGTTGTATTAAGGATAGTTTGTTATACTTTGTAATTGATCAGGATTCAAATAGATGTGTTCTTTACTTACCTAAATCTTTGAGGGAAATGGTATGTAAGCAAATACATATAGAGATGGGTCATCAGGGGGCGTATAAAGTAATAAAATATATTAGAGACAGGTTTTATTGGATAGGATTGAGTAGAGACACAAAAAACTTTATAAAACTATGTCACATTTGTCAACTATCTAAGAGTGACAATATTAAATATGTTGGGGAGTGTAAGTCAATATTAACAGAAAACCCCGGCGATATGGTAATGGCTGATTTATACGGTCCACTTCCAAAAGGAAAGTTTGGATCAGCTTACATATTAGTAATTCAAGACTCTTTTAGCAAATTTGTAAAATTCTATGATTTAAAGAAAGCCACTGCTCAAGCTGTAATAACCAAGTTTAAACATTTTACTAAAATAATAAAGCCAAGGGTTGTAATGACGGACAATGGAACTCAATTTATAAGTAGCGTCTGGAAAAGTGCTTTACATAATTTAGGTATCAAATCTATTCACACTACGGTCAGGAATCCTAGGCCAAATACTACTGAAAGAGTAAACAAAGAATTAGGTCGTTTATTTAGAACATATTGTCACCAAAATCATAAGGGTTGGAACACTATTTTGCCAAAATTAGAAGAATTGTATAATAACACGTATCATGAAAGCACAGGCTTCACACCGAATGAGATTATTTTTGGTTCTGGTAATAAAATTTCTTTTGATAGTTACATATGTGTCAATAGGGAGATAAACAATACTGAAACGATAAAATTACAAGTGAGGAAGAATTTAATTGAAGCAAGTAAAAAACGCAATAAAAAATATAATAAGTCACATAAGTTAATAACTTTTCAGATTGGTGATTTAGTAAAGGTTCGGAAATGTAATAAGTCAGATGCAAAATTAAAATTAACTAAGAAATTTGAGCTTTTATATGAAGGTCCTTATGTGATAGCTTCAGTACCTTTTGTAAATGTTTATACACTTATGGATCCTAAAACTAAAGAGGTTAAGGGTAATTATAATACTATTCATTTGTCCAAATATTATAAATAAGATAAAAGATAAAATAGATATGCAATGAATACTTATTTTGTAGGATGAGCACATTGTATTAGGGTTTAACTTTTTTAATTCATAAAAACAACGATATCATTGAATTAGAGATATTATTATAATTGTTATTTTAATCTAACGCTAATGTATAGTGTAAGTAATTTTTTTTTCAAAAGGAAAATAAGATTAGGTTGAATAAGTTAATTGGTATAAGATTATTAAAAAAAAAAAAATTAAGTTTATTAAAATTTGCTTGTAATTATTAAATTAATTATTTTGACACTGTTTTATCAAAATTATTTGTTAGTTCAGTATTGTGTTTTAAAAGTACAGTTTTATTATGATAATTATTTTTATATAGTTATATAGTTATTTTGTATTGATTATTAAAAGAAGAAAAAAAAAAAAAAGAGAAAGAAAATTTTTGTTCGGTCGGGACTGGTGGTGGCACAATTACATCTATTTTGATTACAAATTTTCTTACTTAAAGAAAATTTGGTTTCCTTTTACTATTAATTAATATTATGAAAAACACAAGGTAAACTTAAATAGAAATAAATAATTTTTTTTTGATACTGTACAATAGGTGTGGTTGTCGGGGAGTAGGGTGGCCACTGTTTAAAAAAAAAAAAA